TCTACTTGTAATTGAGTATTTTACAATTTGGCATTTGTACTTTTACTTAACAATATCTTTTTCTCTTTTTATCTCTTTGGTTGGACATAGTGAACTCATTAAGTGTAGTTATTAAGACTGAAAATGTAGACTAAAACAGCAGACTCAAATCACAAAAAAATGTTTTATTGATATAAGATAAAAAATGTAGCTACAGAAAAATCTTCAACACATATAAAGTGCTTCCCATATAAGCCGATCAGGGATCCCATTACACTATACTGCCGAGACAGTCACGTCTCATACAGTTCATAAGAAACCTTCCATCCAACTTTTCCACCTCTGGACCAACCAGGTAGAGTACTATGATGACCAGCAACACCTGAGCACGCGCAGTCCAGCTGCAGAGTCCACCCATCAGGCAGAGGAAAAAGTTCCTACGACAGGACACAGCTGTTGTTCTTCTTCAGCGGGGGTCTTTTCTTCACAGCGGCTCTGGGCACCGTGTCTCTGCGCCTCCACACCGCAGGGCTCAGCCGGTGCGGCAGGTTCACCTGTTGCAGCAGCGCGCGGAACACTCCCACCGCGTTCCCACCGGTGCGCGCGGACGCCTCCACGAAGTTGGCGTCCCACTCGCCCTCCACCGTGGCCATGACATCTGCCGCCAGCAGCACCCGACCCTCGGTCTCGGTCAGGTCCGCCTTGCAGCCAACCACGGTGATGGGCGCGCCCTTGCCGCCCTTGCCGCCCCGCAGCTCCAGAATCTCGTCGCGGAGCCGCCGCACCTCCTCGAGGGACCCGGGGTCGTCCACCGCGTACACGAGGGCGAATGCGTCGCTGTGTCGGATGCACAGCTCCCGCATGGCCGGGAAAGGGTAGCTGCCGCTCGTGTCCAAGATCTCCAGACGCATCTTCCCCGCAGACCCCGCGGTGTCGTACTCCAGCACGTGAAGCTCCTCGACCGTGCGCGTGTACTTGTGCTGGAAGCGGTCGTGGAGGAAACGGTGGATGAGCGCGCTCTTACCGACCCCCGCTGCCCCGAGGAACACCAGCCGGACCGTGTTGGGTCGCCCTGATAGAGACATGCTGAGCTGGTGTGTGTGTGTGTGTGTGTGTGTGTGTGTGACCCCGGAGCGAACAGCCGTCCCGTCCGAGAATGTGCGACCACTGGCGGAGTTTCTGCTCCCTCCGGTGATGCCAGCGGCTCTGGTCTCCTCTTTAAAGCGTCTACGGGTATTTATAGGCTGGCCACCGCTGCTCTCCACCAATAAGCTCCCTCCCTCTGTCTCACACGAGGTGAAGCACGATTCAAAGCAGGTTCAAGTTGAGATTTTAATTGAACATGCAGCAGCACTGTGACATTCATGGCAACATGGAAACATAAATGAATGTGCATGTGGTATTTACAATCACCAGTCATGTTAGAGGGAATCATACTGGCCACAGGAGCCACGTGCTCTTGTTTACATCCTGTGAGTCATTGAACAACCACCACTACAGAAATCATAGGAACAAGTCATGTTAAAGTATCAGTATCAGTGTTACATATTATTATATATTACACGTTATTTACAATGGCTGGGCAGTTTAACATAGGGCAAGTATGACCTATGATTATTCAAATTGATTAGAACCCACAATTAGCCTTCAAATTGTACTTAAGTTCTTGTGTAAACATCCACCAGCAGTCTAATCATCAGTGATACTGTATGAAAAAGCCATGGTGAAACCTCAGTATGTGTCAAAGTCCCCACCACAAGCTGACCTAAAATGTCACACATTAACAGTGGTTCTAGATAGGGCCTCTGGCTGGCTCAGGAAGTGCTCTTGGGCAAGATATTGTGCCCCAAATTCGCTCCTGCTGCTGTGCCATCGCTGTATGAATGTGTGTGAATGGGTGAATGTGGCACTTTGAGTGGTTGGAAGAAAGGCACTATACAAGTACAGTCCATTTACCTTTTACCTTTCGCAGGTTTCATGACCACCTCAGTTTCTCCTACACGCTTCAGAGCCCTTTCTGGTCCTTTAATACATTGTCACCAGAGCTTTGTTTTGCATTTTTGTGGTTCATTTCCCTCATTGGTTTTGCTCTTGCTCCATTACCAACACATGGTTTTTGTTATTGTGTTCCTGGGAACTCACATCCTGAAGTCTGGCAGTCATAAAGAGATGGTCATTCATGCACACACAACCAAGATACAGACACGTGTACTCATATTTACACCGGCTATGAGTCATGGAAGGTTTCTCTTTAATGATCTCCCACAAAGATCCACCATTGTGGTACATACACACACGTTGTATATATATATACAGTGGGTACAGAAAGTATT